AGCTCAAACCTTTACCCTAGTGGCATAAACAAGCTGGAATCTTTACACTAGTGTCATAAACAAGCTTAAATATTTACACTAGAGACATAAAAAAGCTGGAATCTTTACACTAGTAACATAAACAAGCTGGAATCTTTACACTAGTGACATAAGGAAGATGGAATCTTTACACTAGTGTCATAAACAAGCTTAAATATTTACACTAGAGACATAAACAAGCTGGAATCTTTACACTAGTGACATAAGGAAGCTCACATCTTTACACTAGTGACATAAACAAGCTGGAATCTTTACACTAGTGACATAAACAAGCTGGAATCTTTACACTAGTGACATAAGGAAGATGGAATATTTACACTAGTGTCATAAACAAGCTTAAATATTTACACTAGAGACATAAACAAGCTGGAATTTTTACACTAGTGACATAAGGAAGCTCACATCTTTACACTAGTGGCATAAACAAGCTGGAATCTTTACACTAGTGACATAAACAAGCTTAAATATTTACACTAGAGACATAAACAAGCTTAAATATTTACACTAGTAACATAAACAAGCTGGAATCTTTACACTAGTGACATAAGGAAGATGGAATCTTTACACTAGTGTCATAAACAAGCTTAAATATTTACACTAGAGACATAAACAAGCTGGAATCTTTACACTAGTGACATAAGGAAGCTCACATCTTTACACTAGTGACATAAACAAGCTGGAATCTTTACACTAGTGACATAAACAAGCTGGAATCTTTACACTAATTACATAAACAAGCTTGATCTTTACACTAGTCAAATCAAATCAACTTTATTTATATAGCACTTTTCATGCAAAAAAAATGCAACTCAAAGTGCTTCACAGATTAAAATGGCCCCATAGATCCCATATTCCCATCCCAGCCCCCCTCCCCAAGTATAAAACAATTGACAATTGCGGTTCCCCTCCCACACCCAACTTCCATAGTGGACATAAAATCACCCGTACACTCGTCCATGCACACACAGACACACACACACACACACACACACACACACACACACACACACACACACGTGAACAACAGAGGAAACAATAGGCTGAGTTCAGATGGGTCAGGTAATGAATGACACATAATCAGCGGAGCCATCTGACCTGACAGCAACAGATCCACGGCAGCAGCCACGACACCGGCCCATGACACCCAGTGGGGGAGGGCAGAAACCCCCACCACTGCCCGGGCACTACCCGAGGAGCGCCCCGGCCGCCGCCGCCGACCACCGGCCCCAAGGCAGTGGAAACACTGGAGGATTAAAATACATAACTGTAAAATAACAAAACCTAATATGGATAAAAAGTAACTGATATAAAAGTGATTATAAAGATAGTAAAAGAAAACATAATCATGTAAAAACACTAAGATGTAAATAAAATGACAAAATGAAATAAAAGAGATAAATTTGTTTGTGTGTGTGTGTGTGTGTGTGTGTGTGTGTGTGTGTGTGTGTGTGTGTGTGTGTGTGTGTGTGTGTGTGTGTGTGTGTGTGTGTGTGTGTGTGTGTGTGAGAGTATATATATATATATATAAACAAATATGACAGACGATTCAGTTAAACTGTCACACCCTGTCCTGTCTCCCCGTTTGGTTCAGCCTTGTGTCTCGTTAATTACTCCCACCTGCTTCTCGTTTTCCCAATCACCCAAGCTCCTTACTCTCCTGTATTTAAACCCCTTCTGTTCTCTGTAGTTTGTTGGGTCATTGTTTCATTGGCCTGCGTGTGTATGTTCAAACGTTCTTACCTGTCTGCCTGGTTTTCTCTCCCGCGTTGGATCCTCGCCTCGCCTCGCCTCGCCTCGCCTCGCCTCACCTCACCTCACCTCACCTCTGCTCACCTCGCCCACACGCCGTGACATAAACAGACTAGATAGATGGTAATCAGCTAAAAGCTAAGCTAAAAAGGTGGGTCTTGAGCCTATTCTTAAAAGCCTGGACGTTCCCTAATGACAAAAGGAAGCTCAAATCTTTACACTAGTGACATAAACAAGCTTGATCTTTACACTAGTGACATAAACAAGTTTGAGTCTTTACACTAGTGACATAAACAAGCTTGATCTTTACACTAGTGACATAAACAAGTTTGAGTCTTTACACTAGTGATATAAACAAGTTTGAATCGTTACACTAGTGACATAAACAAGCTTGATCTTTACACTAGTGACATAAACAAGCTGGAATCTTTACACTAGTGACATAAACAAGCTTGATCTTTACACTAGTGACATAAACAAGCTGGAATCTTTACACTAGTGACATAAACAAGCTTGATCTTTACACTAGTGACATGAGCAAGTTTGAATCGTTACACTAGTGACACAAACAAGCTGGAATCGTTACACTAGTGACATAAGGAAGCTGGAATCATTACACTAGTGACATAAACAAGCTTGGTCTTTACACTAGTGACATAAACAAGCTTGATCTTTACACTAGTGATATAAACAAGCTTGATCTTTACACCAGTGACATAAACAAGCTTTATCTTTACACTAGTGGCATAAGCAAGATTGAATATTTACACTAGTGACATAAACAAGTTTGAATCTTTACACTAGTGATATAAACAAGTTTGAATCGTTACACTAGTGACATAAACAAGCTTAATCTTTACACTAGTGACATAAACAAGCTGGAATCTTTACACTAGTGACATAAACAAGCTTGATCTTTACACTAGTGACATGAGCAAGTTTGAATCTTTACACTAGTGACACAAACAAGCTGGAATATTTACACTAGTGACATAAGGAAGCTCACATCTTTACACTAGTGACATAAACAAGCTGGAATCTTTACACTAGTGACATAAACAAGCTTGATCTTTACACTAGTGACATAAGCAAGTTTGAATCTTTACACTAGTGACATAAACAAGCTGGAATCTTTACACTAGTGACATAAGGAAGCTGGAATCATTACACTAGTGACACAAACAAGCTGGAATCATTACACTAGTGACATAAACAAGCTTGGTCTTTACACTAGTGACATAAACAAGCTTGATCTTTACACTAGTGACATAAACAAGTTTGAATCTTTACACTAGTGATATAAACAAGTTTGAATCTTTACACTAGTGACATAAACAAGCTGGAATCTTTACACTAGTGACATAAACAAGCTTGATCTTTACACTAGTGACATGAGCAAGTTTGAATCTTTACACTAGTGACACAAACAAGCTGGAATCTTTACACTAGTGACATAAGGAAGCTGGAATCATTGCACTAGTGACATATGGAAGCTGGAATCATTACACTAGTGACATAAACAAGCTGGAATCTTTACACTAGTGACATAAACAAGCTTGGTCTTTACACTAGTGACATAAACAAGCTTGGTCTTTACACTAGTGACATAAACAAGCTTGATCTTTACACCAGTGGCATAAGCAAGATTGAATATTTACACTAGTGACATAAACAAGCTTGAATTTGCCACAAACATTCTGAATTTACAACAGATTTTCTCTACACCATTACTGATGTAAGCTATGTTTCTTGTTCCAAGAAATAGCATCTCCTCACAGTCAAGAGGTGCATTTTGAAAGTGTGTTGGCCCAAAAACCAGAAATAAATTTGTAGTGTGGCTATTTGGGCTCAGCCATCCATGCTTTAGCAGAGCTGGCAGCTCAGCGAGTTACTATTGTCGGAGTTTGACCCAGTCCAACAGGACCAGAAAAGAGGCCAGCTCATTAAAGATTGTACAACACATCTAGTTTAATGCAGCACTATAAGAAGTGGAAGTACAAGCCAAACATACTGTCATGTATTTTAAATGTTGCTCACTTTGCTGCAATAGTCTTTTATTGGTCTAAATTATCTTTATTTTAATTACTTCATTTAAAGAAAAGACAATGCATATTTATGAACAGCATTACAACTGTAAATATGCCAGATTGTAGCCTTAGGCTAATTTCCATCTGCAGTCCTCTGGCAGGTTAATGTTAAAAGAGAACAATATACATTTAGAAGAAAAAAAACAGTCAGGAACATATTTTATGAAAAAGACAAGAGTAAAAACAAATAAGTGTTCAGTTTTGTTATAAGGCAAAAGACAAAAAGGGATTCATCTTTTACCCTCACAAGGTTTTACCGTCAGATCTGGAGAGCCGCATGCAGGCATAGGCATAGGAGCTGAACAAGCTTCCAGCATCAATGATGGAAATTTGTTCAAAATTAGGATCATCTTGTCAGTCTGGCCCCTTAAGTTCATCTTGACTTCACAGCCAGAATGAGCTGTACTTATAGTTTGTTGGTTCTTGTCCTTTAGAACCAAATGGCTTCCTGCACCGGCACAACTCAAAAGGCGTTTCAGTGCCCCAGAAAGTTCCAGCGTGCTGAGGGGGATCACCTCACCCTCATGTTTACACCTTCAAAGCCAAAAACTCCAGTGTACATCCTCATCCATTCACAGCAATCTGTAGCTTTAAATATCTGACTTATAATAATTAGTTTACTCAATGTGAATAGATATTAGAATAAACATTAAGTTTTGTTCTTTGGTTGAAGTGTCTCATAATGACTGACAGATCTGAGTTGAAAGTGGTGTCAGGATTATTTTCTGGACACCCTGATCAGGATTGAGCTTCCCATATCGTGACCCTGCTTTGGAACCAGTTTCCCCTCGTGTGAGTTCATTCATCAGTTGTAGCGGATTAGCATTTCCACTTATATTTGTAGTTTTTAAACTTACTCTGAATTCCTTGATAATGCTAATTTGTTTTATTCCTCAATTGTTGTGATCTCTATGTGCAGTAGCGACTTCACGTTTTATATGTTGGTATGATTTTCAGGTTCAAATAGCACTAATGCATTTCTTCTAAATGCTGCCTCCTAGTGAGAGTAGAGACAAACAGCAGGTCCTGTTTGTAACCCTAACCCTACAGAGAAACGATCCGCAGTGATGTAAGCAGCAGCTGTGCAGCAGGGACTGAAGTGTGATCAAGTGAGCTGAAACAAACTATAAGGGGTTACCAATTTATTACACGTTAAAAGTCTTTATGCAACATTCAACTTTTCAGATGGCAAACTTGTTAAATGGGCAACAGGCTATTGAACACCACTCTTGCAGCATCTAAATGTTTGGCCTGCTGTCTCCTTGACTGTGATTGATCAAAAGACTTGTGACCCACAAAAATACTTTAACAAGATAAACTCCACTCCTTTCTCTGATAATGGATTATTATAAAAGAGACTGAAACCTGACAGAAGAATCTGTGTTCAAACAGAGCGCTTTGACATCATTTTAATCCAAGTGGAGACACCAAAATCATAAACGGTCATTTTAAAGCACATAAGGGTCAGACTAAGTCTAAACCTGACAAATTGTACACAGCTGCCCTTTGCATTTACAATTAATTGACAGTTTGTAGTCATTTTTAAACAAAACCCACTTAAAACGGACACTTTTGAAAGTAATCCTGCTTTTGATCAACTGATGAGGCTGCAGGTCTTCACCGTGTCCTGAAATGTCTCAGACTGTCAGGTATTCCTTCAGTTTGTCCATAACTGCAGGTATTCTGTCTGCGGGGACCAGCATCACCGTCCTGAATGGCTTCATGGGAACGTCGTCAAACGACCACCTGCCACTCAAACACGAGTCAGCATCATCCTGCACTGAGTAGTGGAACTTTATGATGGCTTGCTGCAACAACAAACCCATCAAAGACATTATTAACAGTTTGAAGGTAAAACGCTCAAGTTACTGATATAAACTCCCCTGTATGTGATCACGTATTTAAACAGAGAGCATTCACCTCGTAAAAGAACTCCTCCTCGGCATTGACAAACATGTACTCCTCTTTAGGAGCTCCTCCTCTGGCCGGGACGTTCTTGGCAGCTTCTTTGCACGTCTTGCTGACCATCAGGCAGTAATGACACTTCTCACTGGGTTTGTTGGTTCTCTGAGCTTCAGCCATTTCTTTCCTAAAAAGGACATGATGAATTTAGTCATCAACAAGCTTGGGAGATATTTAAGCCATTTCAGTTAGCATGAAAATACTAATTTGGGCTTGGCCATTTCTCTGAAATCACCAAACTTATTTTTAGTTTTGCAGAATTAAATGTATTGAGGCACTGTTTCATTTCATTGATTTTCCCCACAGATCCCAAAGAAGGTTAGTGTTTAATCATTTATTTTAGGCAAAAGCTGTTTTCTTCTTGCACTGAGAAACGTCATAAGGACAGATTTAACTTCATGTAATTTTTGAACTATGTGCTTGCTGTAGTTTTCTGGGGCAGCAGCATCAGCACCAGAGATCTCAGCAGGTTCAACAAATGCATTAATAAAGCTATGAAAATTCATCTGGCAGAGCCTGTAGATGTTAGGGTCTGTGACGATCCATGAATAAACTGCTTTCATATATAAACACATCCTACTGAGACTGGAGCTATTTTATGACAGATTCATTCAGATCTGCCGTCAAAAGTAAGGTCATGTTCTACTTGACTGCACCTTTATGTAGAGAATAAATGTTTCACCCACATGTGCACATGATCATTACGACAAATGTCAATGTTGATGGATATTATTTTAAGTTCTGAGAGTTACTTTTTTTCCGTCTCTGGCACCGTGTTGTAGGGCTGTGTTGGCTGACGCAGCTCTGCAATATCGCGTGGACATCGGGGGCAGTCCCACTGGACTGGCAGACCTGGGTAGTGGTTCCCTTATTTAAAAGGGGGACTGCAGGGTGTGTTCCAACTACAGGGGGATCACACTCCTGAGGCTTCCTGGTAAGTTCTATTCAGGGGTTCTGGAGAGGAGGGTCCGTTGGATTGTTGAACCTCAGATTCAGGAGGAGCAATGTGGTTTTCGTCCTGACTGTGGAACACTGGACCAGCTCCATACCCTTAGGGGGATCCTGGAGGGTGCGTGGGAATTTGCCCAACCAGTCTACATGTGTTTTGTGGATTTGGAGAAGGCATTTGACCGTGTCCCTTGGGGGGCCCTGTGGGGGGTACTCTGGGAGTATGGGGTACCAGGCCCTCTGATAGGGGCTGTTAGGTCCCTGTATGACCGGTGTCAGAGCTTGGTCTGCATTGCCGGCAGTAAGTCGGGCTCGTTCCCAGTGAGAGTTGGACTCCGCCAAGGCTGCCCTTTGTCACCAATTCTGTTCATAACCTTTATGGACAGGATTTCTAGGTGCAGCCAAGGTGTGGAGGGCATCCGTTTGGTGGCCTGAGGATCAGGTCTCTGCTTTTTGCAGATGACGTGGTCCTGTTGGCTTCATCAGATCGTGATCTTCAGCTTTCGCTGGAGCAGTTCGCAGCAGTGTGAAGCAGCTGGGATGAGAATCAGCTCCTCTAAATCTGAGACCATGGTCTTGATTCGGAAAAGGGTAGAATGCCTTCTCCAGGTCAGGGATGAGGTCCTGCCCCAAGTGGAGAAGTTTAAGTATCTCGGGGTCTTGTTCACGAGTGAGGGAAAACTGGAGCATGAGATCGATAGGCGGATTGGTGCTGCATCTGCAGTGATGCGGGCATTGTACCGGTCTGTCCTGGTGAAGAGAGAGCTGAGTCAGAAGGCAAAGCTCTCGATTTACCGGTCGATCTACGTTCCTACCCTCACCTATGGTCATGAGCTTTGGGTAGTGACTGAAAGAACGAGATCGCGGATACAAGCGGCCGAAATGAGTTTTCTCCGAAGAGTGGCTGGGCTCTCCCGTAGAGATAGGGTGAGAAGCTTGGTCATTCAGGAGGGGCTCGGAGTAGACCCACTGCTCCTCCACATCAAGAGGAGCCAGTTGAGGTGGCTCAGGCATCTGGCCAGGATGCCTCCTGGACGCCTCCCTGGTGAGGTTTTCTGGGCACGTCCAACCGGGAGGAGACCTAAAGGTAGACCCAGGACACGGTGGAGGGACTATGTCTCTCACCTGGCCAGGGAACGCCTTGGGATTCCCCCGGAGGAGACCTGGCCCAAGTGGCTGTGGAGAGGGAAGTCTGGGCCTCTCGCCTTAAGCTACTGCCCCCGCGACCTGACTCCGGATAAGCGGATGAAAATGGATGGATGGATGGCACAATGTTCTTGTAGTGCTGTTTCTTTTTTGTTCTTCAGAGGAACTTCTTATTCTCTCTGGTGATTATTTGTTGATAGGAGCCTGTAAGTGGTTAGACTGGGCAGCAAAAGAAGCACTCACTGGAGCTGTGTATGCAGAGGGAGGGCGATCTGTGGAGGCACATTGATAAAGCGCTCACTCAGCAGAAGTCCCACAGGTTTGCTTGTGTCATTTAAGATCTGCTCCAGCTGTTCAGTCACACTGTGAGAAGCATTCTTCTCACACTGATCCAATATCAGCTCCTTGATGTCCTCCACACACCGCACGCCCTGCAAAAAAAGAAAAGCCACAACCTTCAAAATTAAGTTAAAAATTCACGTATTTTACTCATCTTCAGAGATTACCTACCTTTCTCTCTGTGAGGTTGAGCATAGCAATAAATCCAAAGACTTCATCCGGGTCATCATCATCACTGTCCTCTGGAACTTCAGCTTGCTAGAACCAGATGAAGGAGGAACGTAATCAGAACAGGGGATAAAATGCAGCGCCTCAAAGTTTGGGACTGGAAAAAAACGACTCACTTTGATGACGCTCCCAATATGATTCTGCTGGATGATGATGTCCGTCATCTCTGCTGTGTCTACACGCGCCTTCAGGAACAGCTGAGTCCAAACTAGTAAAGATTAGTGACAACTATTCGTGACGCTTATGTGACAACAACACACAGTTCTGCACCTGCTGCAAAAGCTTCTTAATGCCACTGAAGTCGTTGTTTGAAATCGCATGGGCTTCAAAATCCACCACGACCTCCTGCAAGTAGAGAAGAAAAAAATATGCATTTTAAACCAAAAATGATTATGTCTTCATGATAACATCACGGACATGCTAGCTAGCGGGTAGAAAGGCCACGTGGGTTTTGTGGATTAGCCACCTCGTCGATTTCCTCCTCTGACGCCTCGCTGTCGTCCTCTCCAGACTCGCCGTCATCCTCCGGACTCTCATCCGAGCTGTTGTCGCTTTCTTCGGGATTCTCACCCAAACCCACTGCTCTCCTCTTAGCGGATGAGGCCATGATCAAGCGTGAAACCCGTGTATATTTAAGTAGGCGCTGCTAAGGTTAACGGATAGCAGGAAACTGGACACGTTCGGGCGCCATTTTGGCTCAAAATGACTGTGGAGTGGGCGTACACCCGAGAAGATCCGAACAGACTTCGACTCCATGTTGGCTCACGCGACTGAACCATTTCCTAACACTGGGGAAAACGTTGTAAATAATATATTGGAATAAAATAGAAAATATGTCTCTAAAATATGTGACATAAACACTAACTTGCATTAGATGACCTATTTAAATGTTTAAAATGTAAATATAAAACATTTTCTAATTTTACATAGATTTGGGGAGACATTTATCGACAGGCAATTTTTGGACATCTTATTTTTAAATGCCAATGAAGTCGTCCGATGAACAGCTGAAGGTGTTCATTCTTATGCATGTATATATGTCGATGTTATGCAGTTATTTCGTCTTTCCAACCGCATATTGTTGCAAATATAATTGCGCAATTTATGTTAAACAAAAACTATTAACGTTTATAGCTGAAAATCGACGTATTTTTGGTTAAACTGGAACGTTATCGTGGCTAATCTGTCAGTGTGTTTTGCAACAACAACAACAGACAGACCGCAACAACAGACCGACGTGCCCAACTACGCTAAAGCGGATTTTACGATACAAGTTGACGTTATTGTTAGTTTATAATAGTTTAGTGTATAATCTTTCCTATTCAGGGATCGTGACTCAACAGTGTTGCTATCTGTAGGTTGCATGTGACCGTTTCTGGGTGTAGCTGAGCTACTTAAGTCTCCACACCCTCTGATTTAACTACTTTAAATTTCTGAAAGCAGCTGATACATTTCTAACAGATGTCAAAACCCACCTTGTGTTATTGGCTCCGTTGAACTGTCTTTTATTCATTGACAGGATGCGTGTTTTGCTTCTTAAAGACCCCAGAGATGGAGAGTCTGGACCTGATCCTTACATTAAGGTAGAAACAGTTTAACCAAATCAATGACGTGGTTTTAACTAAACACACACTGCTTTGTTGCTATGCTTTTTACTCTACAGGAGCTGGAATCACGTGGGCACAAAACAACCCTAATTCCAGTGTTGTCTTTTAAGTTTATCTCAGCAAACACCTTGTCAGATAAGGTAAATTAAATAACATTATCTGAACCAGTGTGTCATTTACCTAACTTTCTATGGCTGCACGTGTAAACCACTGATCATTTTAATGTATTTATTTCATAAGCTTCTTCAACCAGAGAAACACGGTGGCTTGATATTCACTAGTCCAAGAGCGGTGGAAGCTGTGAAGCTGTGCTTGGAAGATAAAGATAGGAAACAAGGTCAAAATGAAACAAGCATGATTAAAGCATTAGCGTGTCTGTGTGCCAATTCTGCTTGAGAATTTTAATAATATTATTTGTAAAACAATATTTTTCATCCAGAGTGGAACAAATCATTGAAAGACAAATGGAACAGGAAATCCATCTATGTGGTTGGGAAGGCTACTGCAGCTTTAGGTGAGTTCTTAGAGCACCTGCAGACACCTTTTTTCTAGATGTTTTTATGGATAGTGCACGTTATAAACTAGTGAAAGATGCAGCCGGGTGTGACGAGCACCTGGTGTTCATACATGTGCGTAAAGTAGTGTAACTACCTTCAGTTTGCTGTTACACACAAGTGGCAGTAAGCTGTGAACCACAGAAACTGGATTTGATCTGGAAGACACCAATCAAGTGTAAAACCTTCCTAATGTTGGTTTTACCTTGTTAGTCTAGTGGCAGCTGACTCCATTGTCAGTGTTTGATTGTAGGAAGCCCAAGTCTCCTCCTTTTCCAGTCGGCTCATGGGTCTCTAAGAAAAAATAAATGCAAGTAGATGGGGCTATAAGAGCTGTATTCTAATATGCTTTGCCTTACGCCCTGAATCACTCATTTGTTGTGATTTAAAAATAGCCAGAATGTTTTTTTACATACGTAGACAAGACCTGTAAAAACCCGTTTTTTAAACATTTCTGTTATAATCTTTGTGCTTTTTATGATTTCAGTACAGAGCCTGGGTCTGGAGCCCGAGGGTGAGGACACGGGGACAGCAGACGTCCTATCACGTCTCATCATCGAAAGTACGATGTGGTTTTTGTTCTCTCCTTTTTTACACTTCTGTATAATCATTTAATTGTTCTAATCTCTGAAATGAAGTGATATTTGATTCATTTCTTAGGAGAGGAAAAAAATATCCCACCACTTTTCTTCCCCTGTGGTTCAATTAAAAGAGAAGTCTTGCCCACGGCTTTAAGGGAAAATGGTAAGATTTTCCCTCTTTTGTGTCTCACGATTAAAGCTCAGGTCGGCGAAATACCCTCTGGGGTTAAGCTAATTAACAAAATAATAATTGCACTACCTTTGTCACATTGGGGATGTGTTTCTTTGTTTCCAGGGGTTCCCCTGGAGACTCTGACTGTCTATCAAACTACTGAACATCCAGATCTGGAGAAGAATCTAAAAAACTACTTCACAAAGCAGGTGAAACTCCCAACTCCTCTTTTATTTTGATAAAAACATAATTTTCATATATAACCAGTGTTTATTTGCTTTTGTGTTCTTAGGGTATTCCAGGGAGTGTAGGATTCTTCAGTCCGTCTGGGGTGAAGTTTTGCCTGGAAGCTGTAAGGAGGCTGTCAGGTGAACAGCTGACGCAAATTAAGGTAAAGTTTCCTTATGGTCAATCAAAAATATATGAAATGGATGATTATGGAGCATGCCACAGGTCTTCAGCGCTCATTCTGTTTCCAGTTTGCAGCCATAGGGCCCACCACACGAGATGCTATGGCAGCAGAGGGTCTGTGTGTCAGCTGCACAGCAGAACAACCAACAGCTCAACACTTGGCTGCAGCGATAGCCGACGCTCTTCAGTAATCAACCAGACAAATACACTTTTTATTGTTTCTCATTGTTTTGGGATTTTTTTTGTCATTGTTTTGATGCCCTTTTCTTGATTTTGCACTGAAAAATGTAGTTTAGCCATTTTTCTTTCATCTCAGATTTGATTAAAAATGTATTTTAAATTATTTTTGAAAATAAACCTTAATCAGTTTGACAAATCTTGCGTAAAACATTTCTGTGTGTGTGTGTGTGTGTGTGTGTGTGTGTGTGTGTGTGTGTGTGTGTGTGTGTGTGTAAGCAGGTGTTGGCAAAAGTGTTTTACATCTTTTATTGCTCAGATGAAAGTGAAGGTGTCCACGGCTTGGTGACAGTTTGTTGAAATCATCGCAGCATGAATAACATGGAGGTTGGTCAAACTGATGAGTTTACTTTTCACGCACAACTGAGGAAAGTGTAACCTCCAGACAGTCCCTCCTCTAAGATGGGTGTGGAGAAACATTTGCTTATAAAGCAGTGCTGCTCCTGCTGTTAGTAAAAACTAACGGCACGATGCTGACTTCCATCCAGCTGATTGCTTTGCTCTTTCTGACCATCCCAAACAACGCGGAGAAACTTTTCCATAATCGGGATCACTCTGATGTTCAGATCCTTAAAACTCACCAGGCTCCTGTTATTACAGATGAATACAAAGCCGAGGTAATTTATAATGTGTGTGTGTGTGTGTGTATATGTATAAATATATGTTTGTTTTTTACCAATTGTATCTATAATAATAAACAAGCCAGCTCTGGGTCTTGCTTTAGTTATTTCTCTCTAGATATGGATTCATCAAGCCGATTAACTGGGAGGAGATCCAGACGGAGAGCTCCGACACTTATTTCAGTGAAGACATCCTGGATGATCTACAAGCCAAAATTCAGGAGGGGACCTCAGTGCCTCATTCAAGAGATGGTCCCGGAAGTGGCACTCATGATGTCCATGTGAGCCAAACTGGGAATCAAGCATTTATTTCAGCACTTAAAGAGTTCCAGAGAGTTTCAGATCTGCCTGTTACAGGGGTGTTTGATGAGGCCACCCAGGAGGCGATGAACAAACCGAGGTGTGGAGTCCCCGACAAGGAGATTGACGCCTACGTAGAGCCTGAGAACACTGATGGACCAGATACCGAAGACAGTCTGAGTGACAGTTTTAATGAGACAGGCATCAGCAGCTCTAATTCCTCTGATGATGACATTTTCAATTTTAATGATACAGATACTCTTCTCGTGGGTATTTCAAATGATACAAACAGGAACAGCTCCAGTTTCAGTGGTTTGGATGGTCAGATGGGGAAAATTAGTATGAACGCAAGTCTGAGTGACACAGTTAGACGCAGGAAGCGCCACCTTTCCAGTCTGGTGTCAAAAAGGCGGCAGAGAAGAGACCTGGATCAAACTGGTTTCATTGCTTTTTCTAAGAGTGTACTAAAATGGCGGCTGATCGGAGAAGGCTACAGCAGTCAGCTGAGTATCGAGGAGCAAAGGTACATCTTCAGACTGGCTTTCAGGATGTGGAGTGAGGTGTCACCACTGGAGTTTATTGAAGATATTAGGTCACCTTTGGAGGATGTTGATATCAGGCTGGGCTTTGGCACAGGTAGGCTTCAGAGGACACATCTTTCATTTGTTGGAGTTTAGAAAATGTGTGTGTGTGTGTGTGTGTGTGTGTGTGTGTGTGTGTGTGTGTGTGTGTGTGTGTGTGTGTGTGTGTGTGTGTGTGTGTGTGTGTGTGTGTGTGTGCGCGTGTGCTTGTCTGCAAAGTTGCAAAATAATTGGGACAGTTGAATTTTGGTTCAGTGCTTTGTGTTTTTGCTGTTGCTCACCAAAAGTACACTTTGGCACAGTGACAGTTACCAGACTTGAGAAGGCTTCAGTTGTATGTAATGCCAGTTGTAGAGTTTTATTACTCATCATTTGTCTGCATACAGGAAGGCATTTGGGATGCAATCAAAGGTTTGACGGAAATGGGCAAGAATTTGCCCATGCCTGGTTCCTTGGTGATATACACTTTGATGATGATGAGCATTTCACTGCTCCCAACTCTCACAGTGGAATCAGCCTCCTTAAGGTAAGTGTAGGTGTGCTGGATTGAATTAGAGACAAAAAAATGATCAAGAAGAATGAGGTTCGGTGCTTTTCATTTTTAGGTGGCGGTTCATGAAATAGGCCATGTTTTGGGCCTACCCCACATCTACAGACCTGGATCTATCATGCAGCCCAGCTATTTGCCCCATGAATCAAGTTTTGAGATGGACTGGATGGACAGGAAAGCTATACAGCATCTTTACGGTACGTCATCACCATCTGCTGGATACACACCGAGAATCTGGACCATCTTTATAAATGTATGTGTTTGACTCCAGGTGCGTGTAGAGGTAGATTTGACACTGTGTTTGACTGGATCAGAAAGGAGAAGACACCTTATGGGGATGTGACCATCCACTTCAACACATACTTCATGAGAGATGGTTTGTACTGGCTGTACGAGAACAGAAACAACAGAACGCGATATGGTGATCCGGTTGCTCTGCAGATCGGCTGGCATGGGCTTCCCAGTGATGGAGTAGATGCATATGTGCATGTGTGGTCCAGAAAGAAAGATTATGTTTATTTCTTCAAAGGTAGATTGATAGTTGTACAATTTTCTGAAAATATAAATTGTTTTTAGTTGATGTCGTTCCATTTTTTTTTTACAGGCACACAGTTCTGGAGATATGACAGTGAGAACGACCAGGTTTTCAGACAAGACTCAGAAGGACAGCAGTATCCAAAGCTGATTTCTGAGGGTTTCCCAGGTGTGCCCAGTCCAATCAGTACAGCTTATTATGACAGGAGGGACTCCTGTATCTACTTCTTCAAGGGTGATAAAGTAAAAATAACTTATTAGTGTTTCTTTCACATGTATAGTTCAGAGCCTGAAATCTGAATGAAAAGTGTTAGTAGGTTTTGGAACGGTTACTGCCAGTTCTACATTTGCTGTAGCTACTTTCCTGTATGTGAATGAGGAGGCGGGGCTTTAGAGGCAGAGCTAAAGCACAGCAGAGAGGGATGGGGAAGGATTTGCAAGTTTTATTCCATCAGAATTCTTTTGTCATTCTGCCTCCCAAACCCTTCTCAAGCAAGAATCTCACAAGCACTAACCATTACACTTTCCTGATGCTTTCCACTGTTATAAGCAGTAGGAAAATAAACATTCTTGCAAGGCTCGCTTGTCTAACCCTGTTCAAACTGCGTTTTCTGTCCGTCGTAGAGAAATCTTTTGTCATCGGTCTGTGGCCATCCAGTGTGACCGCTCCATCAACAGCCTACTGAGCACTCTCAAAGCCAAATTCTACCTCCAATGGTATTTAAGTCGTGTCAGAAAATCTATGACTCCGTTCTTCAATCTACCAATGAAAATACACCTAGGGAGTGACACGAGAAACTATTGACGAGAGTAAAATGCAATAGTAGGCCACGCACAACAGGTGGAGCAGTCCTTTTTGGAGTTCCATTTGATGTCTAATAAAAGGAGTTTTAATGGTGGCGCTTTGTTTTCTTTCATTGTTGACATCTTTGGTATCTGTCGACTTTTGTTGGCGTATGCTTTTTGGTGGTGTGGGCTCATAACTGTGGCGTGTCCTATACTATAGAGGGAATTTGATTCAACAAAGTGTTGGGGTGTGTAGTGTGCCTCCTTTCTAGGACTTAGACAGTTAACCCTAAACACGAATTAGTTCTTTGCAACTGCCGAAAATGCACGGTGTCAACGGGCCTTAGTTTGATATTCTTATCACCTTTTTTAGAGTCCACTGTCCAATGAAAGACTTTAACAGACCTTCAGAAAGCCTAACAAATGGAGCTCAAGACCATTGTAGAGTACTGCGTGTCTGGCATCTGTAGTTACGCAACTCATGATGTCGTGGGGAGAAAGCAGCCTAATGGTGTCTCATCAAAATGAGGAAAAGCATTCATGCAAACAAAAGTGCCACATTTTCCCTGTGATTTGTTGTAATTATGAGAATTTCTGCTCCGAGAGATAAATGAACTATCTTCTCAAACAGGTCTATGCATTCAATGTGAAAACCAACAGCTTGGCAAGAGGCTTCCCAAAAAACATCAGAGCCGTTTTCCCTCCAGTGGAGAGCGGAGACCATCCAGATGGCAACATCGACGCTGCCTACTTCTCCTACACCCACAATGCCATCTTTCTACTCAAGGGCACCCGTTTCTGGCAAGTGGTGGGCAGCCGCGAACGTTGGCGCCGGCCCTTTCTGCCTCGAAATGGCTTGATGCCACACAAGGAGGTGGATCAGCAGTGGTTTGACATCTGCAACGTTCATCCTGCTGCTCTCAGACTAACCCACTGAGGGGAGAGAGGAATTAGCTCATGTCTACAGATGTAGTCTAATGGTTTACCTGTAGGTATACATGCTGCCATGTGTTTTCACGCATCCATTATTTCATTTTTCTCCAATGCCGATTGTGTAATCTGTTTAAAAGACAAAAACAACTGTTGTTGGCTTGTTTTCGCAGATGTGTGTAAATAATTTATGTTACAGCTGCTGTTTGTTTCTCTTTTTCTCCTTGGAGATGCTAGGTTCATAGTGATGTGTTATGATTCAGATGTTTAGGGTACCAGTGTGAGCAAATCTGTCCAATATTTATTTTTCATATTAATAAATAATGCTGCTTGAGATGAAAGTTTGGGCAGCTCATTTGTTCAAGATTGATGTTAATATAGGAGGAAAGTAGGGAATAAAAGGTCCAGGGTTTTTATTGCTAAAATGAAATCTTCATTCTTGGTTTTTAAAAACCAAAAAAGAACAAAATAGGATTTTGTGAGT